GATGGCTCAGTAGAATAAGCACTTCCCTGGCAAGTGCAAGGGCCTGAGTTCAATCCCTGGTTCCGCAAAAAAAAAAAAAAAAAAAAAAAAAAAAATCTGTTTGTATTCATGACAATGATCTTATACTGAAAAATACTTTGTTTGACACACTTTCTACTTTTTATTTCTCCATTTCATACCTACCACCTTTTGGGACACAAATCCTGTGTCATGTCCTCCATGAAGCTTCCTGTAACCACATCAGATATTCTGTGTCTTGAAACTCCTATAGCACTTGGCAGACAACGCACCATGGTTATTCACAAATATATCCTGAAAAGTTTTATTTGAAAAAATGTGAAATCAATATACTTTCATTTTGATGTGTGAAAAACAAAATTAACTATATAACAACAGTAAACAAACCTTAACGTTTAGACCTAAGCATATATTTTTACCGGTTCTTATGTCTTCTTTACGTTTTTATTAATTTTATTGAGAAACAAATAACAATGAAACAGTTTCAAAACAAGTTAATAGGGAGCTGGTGAGATGGCTCAGTGGTCTAAAGCACCTATTTAGAACAAGCTTAGCAAAGCACAGGGACAGCGGTTCGATCCCCCAGCACCACATGCCAGCCAGCCCCGCCCCCTGGTGGGCTGAGCTGGCCACACACACACACACACACCACACACACATAAATAAAATTTAAAAAAAAAAAAGGTTAGTAGGACAGTTACAATAATTAATACATTGCATGTTGTTGTCTTCGTAGTAGTTATTCATAGTACAAGATGCAGACCTGGTATCCTGTCCAAATATTATTAGTACAAATCTTTCTTCTCATTGAATTAAAAGAAAGTAGCTGTATATCTGTCCTATTTTGTATATTACTACAAAATGTCCTTTATTTATATCCCCTTTTTTGTGTAGTTTTGTCAGAGATGGGTATTCCATTGCCATTTAAATATTATAGGTGCTTCAATTCAGCAAAATAATCCAATCTAGTCCAGTAATCCAGAATAGTAGTGGGTTATCCGCAGGACTGGCAGTGTCAGAAGTTCTTGACTTGAGTCTTCTTTAATGATGAACGTTTACTTCTTAATTCAACAGAATTGCATCCATTTCAAACTACTCTTTGTTTCTATTAACACTTTCAGATTTGTTATCTTATAATTTTTATTAAATAACGAGTCAAATATTCCTTTTAATAATGAAACTTTCTCATCAAAAACTTTACCACTCGGAGGGCAAAAGTGAGAGAGGAGAGCACACCTTTAGAAGGCGTTGGTGAAGCAAGAATCCCAGAGACCAAGCGCTCCCCCTGCTGGCTAGCAGTTTCTCAGCAGCCTGCTCTGGGACTTTTTTCCCGGGACTGCTACAGTAGCATACGCAAATAACGTCACAAACTCTGCAGCAAAGTGAATAGCAACTCCTCAAATGGAATTTTTCTCACTGATGAGCTGAATAACTCAAGTTCCATAAAAGTTCAAATGTGCCATGCAACGGGGCTGTTAATTAGCTGCATGAAGCACACCACCGCGCTATCTGCTAAGGCCGCAGTCTTTGAGTCGCTGGGTCCTCTCTGAAGATGTCATCAAATGGCCCGGACCCCCTCTCAGGCAGAGTTACATGCATCACCGGTAAGACTTCAGCTGAAGCGCTCCCTGCATAGCAACCATGAATTTTAAGAAGAACGACTCCAATTTTAGGCTATTTGTTTTGCTGAATGGAGTAATTAATTTGGGATTCAGAACGACACTGTTAAGGGCAATAATAGAAACACTGCACACTGCCAGCTACAACTCTCTAGGTGGTGTCTAACTCCTCCTTAATTATCAAGCACATATTTAAGGAAATCGCTTGCAAAAGTATAAATGTCTCCATCTGGCCTGGATGTCAGTATATATTAAAATGTGGATTGTTTAAAGTTTGCATTTACAATAGCTTAATATCAAGAAAACAGAAACAGAACAAAAAGGTCATTTCCAAGTAACTTTCTTAGGGCAGGCGAGATAGCGCAGTGGACTAAGTGCCTGCTTAGGCAACTGCAGGGACTGGAGTTCAATCCCCAGCTCCACATGCTGTGCCAGCCCCACCTGGTCCAGGCACACTTCACTGGTAATCCAGTCCAGGTGTGGTGGTGCACGCCTGTAATCCCAGTGCTGGGAATGCTGAAAACAGGAGGATCACTACAAGTCTGAACTGCATAGTGAGACCCTGTACCAAATACATTTTTTTTAAAAAAAAGTTACTCTCTTTAATGGCAGAGAAACTGGCCAGTTTGGAAAAAATAGCTATTCTCTGAGTTGTATTATTATTTTTTTTTAGCCTAAAACATATGCTTATCACAAAACATTGATTTTCTAAGTTTTATTTTAAAATTGTTTCTGATAATAAATTGGTTTCTTCACCAGGCTCTTCTGTCCAAAACTAATTTAGTAATTTCATCTTCAGTCTCCACCTCTGCTCTTCCTCTAGTACTTCTGTAGTACTTCTAATCCCACTCGGGGATTGGAAGGAACCCTGAACTGCATTCTGTACTGGACCTGTCTCCCTGAGCAGGTTTGGTAGCAGGCTTTAAGATCCATTTTCATAGCTAGCATTCTGTAGTTCCCACCCCAGGCCGGGGGGGGGGGGGGGGACACGGGACGGACACCAGCTAGCAAGGTAAGGCTAACTCAAGGGAAATAAAAGTCCTCTCTCAGTAAAAGGATAACAAATTCTGAACACATCTTGGTGTCTCTAATTCTTGCTACTGAAACAAAATCACAGATTGGTATCTAGAACCTAGACTTCAAGTGCTCGTATTTAAAAGTATTTTTAAATAAAAGTATTTGAGTATTTAAAAGTCCTTTTAAAAAAAGTTCCTTGTGTAGTTGGAATGTACCACATCTTGTCTGATAAGACTAAATTTTTCCCATCAATTTATTAGCTAGTATTTCTTTTTTTATTATTCACTCAGAATTCACTGCTCATTTAGCTATTATTACTACTTTTAACAATAAAATCCTTTTTTTTTTTTTTTTCATTTTTTCTGGCATTTTCCAGGTGTGCCTTTGGTTCTTTTTACATGATTATCTCTGTTGGTCAAATTTTTGCATGTGATTTCCCTCCACTGGCTTTAGGTTTAGGAAATCCTCCTCTGTAAAAATATCTGGGAATTATTGATTTTGTTGTAGCTATTTTATCCCATTGGGGGAGTGGGAGTGGGAAATTTTTTTTATACATATCATGCAATATTTTTTCCATTTAATTGGAGGTATAAACTTCAGAAAGCTATGCCTTCATATTTTTCTGTCATAGATGCTAGAGATACTTTAAAATTTCTCAGGGTAACAAAGATGCTTCTTACTAAATATCTAAATGAGGATGTAGTTGTCTGTCTTCCAGATTCAAAGTTCAAAACTGGAGTTTTCATTCATAATATCAGAAAATGACAAAAAATGGAGAAGGAAGAGAGCTTAATGAAAATTTTAGATGGCAAAAAACCCTCAAGCCCCTAAATTTGTGCTTATCATGTTGCATTTGGCAATCCATTGGTAAGTCTGAGAAATATTTAGTAAACCCTTGATGAGCAATTTTTTTAAATGGAATACAATTCAAACCTTTTCCAAACACTGTTTGTGATTTTTGAGACAAGGTTTCACTGGTTTTGAATGCACTGGTGTGTAACCCAGGCTGGCCTGTAAGTCACAACAATCCTCCTGCCTTAGACTCCTGAGTGCTGGGATTACAGATGTGTGCCGGAATGCCTGGCTTAAAGCTTTATTACTTTGATGTTTACTTCCTTGACTAAGAACCATGATGCCAGAATAGATGGGCCCAAATGAATCAGCATGTTGCTTACTCAGATGATAGATCAGATCCTTCATAGACAGAAGACTCCATGTTTTCTTTCTTTTTTTTTTTTTTTTTTCATTTTTCACACAGGTTTAATAGAAAAATAAAACTACCAGCCACACAGGAAGCCTATTCAAAGTATGCAAATTCAGTGAATTATTGCTCTTACTGGGGACATGCTTGTTCCTTTTTTCTTTAAATAGCACCGTGAGCCAAAGTTTAAGAAGTACAAACACAATAAGGCTCTATATTCAACCTACAATGTTGTCACTATGTATTCTTTAAAACCTTTGTAAGATGGTATTATTGCTAGCTATTACAGTATACATCTGTAATGCCAGCTCTCTGGAGGCTGAGATGTGAGGACTGCCATGAAATTTGACACTAGCCTGGGCTACACAATGTTCAAAGCCAGCCTGAACTACATAGCAAGATCCTGTCTCAAAAAACAAACAGCGTCTGCGAGATAGCTCAGCGGTCTAAAGTACCCGCTTAGGCAAGCCTAGAGACTGTGGTTCGATCCCTTGCACCACATGCCACACCAGCCTGCCCCCAGGGTGGGCTGAGCTGACCACACACACACACAAAAAGGCATTACCTTTTCTGATCCTAATTCTAGTTTATCTTGCAAATACTCAAGTGCAATATAGACAATTCTAAATAATTCACAAGTCTACAAATGGAGAATCCCAGATTCAGAACTGTACTAACACAATGCCTACCCTGTCTCCAAGTGAAAATTTAGCCCACAGCCTTGAATATCTATTCTTAGTATGAGGAACTTTTTTAAAAGATTCAACTTTATATGTGTGTTGCCTTTGGATATCCCTTAGGTTTAAAAACTAAATAATTTGCCTATGAAGTGATTTGAATATTGTAAGTTAAAATAACCAAGTCTATAACAGAGGATGTGCATCAGGAGCCCTACTCAAGAATCTTAATATTCTTCTGGCATTGACTTTTAACACTAAATATTAAAGAAATTTATCTGTAGGTATATTGAATATGAGGACTGGGGTTTATGGAAATTAAGGAATATGAGTAGTCAAGTGCTAATGATTCCTAGTAAGCTGTGTTACATATAAAAGCTTTTAAATATTACCTGGAAATCACCATGTTTATTTTTTTGTGTGTGGAACCAGGTCATTATGTATTAATAACCATACAATAAACATGAATATTTCCTATCTAGACTTCCCCATCACCGTAATATCTAATGCCTCCACTTATGTACCAATGGTTTGTATTCTGTTGCACACACTTTCCCTACACTGATCCAACTTTAGTAAGAATAATTCTTTTCAAAAACCTGTTGAGTTTTCAGGCGAAATCTTTAGAAAACATAGTGCTACTATGTTACATGGGAAGTGAGATTTCCTGATTGGATTCACAAAGACAGATATTTTTCAAGACGTTAAGATGTACTATTTTGCTTTTCAGAGATAACTGAAATATGGCTCACAGTGACTTCCTCTACCCAGACAACCCAAGGAGGCGGCAGGAAGTAAATCGTCTTCACCAGCAGCTCCTTGACTGCCTATCAGACAGCTTCCAGGCCACCAATAAGCTCACAGGTGTCCTAAACACGCACCTGGGGTGCATGCTGGCCTCCATTGAAATGAAAAGAGATGGTACCATAAAGGAAAACTGTGACATCATCATTGATGCTGTCACAAAAATTCAGAAGGAACTGCACAAGGTTGACGAAGCACTAAAAGATAAACTAGAGCCGACCCTTTACAGAAAACTTCAGGATATTAAGGAACGGGAAACAGAGAAAATTGCAATAGTACAAAAGGTCATGTCAGTCATCCTGGGCGAAGCCACATCTGCAGCCAGTGCGGTGGCTGTTAAACTCGTGGGCTCGAACATCACCACTGGCATAATTAACAAGCTGGTCACCGTGTTAGCTCAAATTGGTGCCTCTCTCCTTGGTAGTATTGGGGTCGCTGTTCTGGGCCTTGGCATAGATATGATCTTCCGCGCCATCCTGGGAGCAGTGGAGAAAACACAGCTTGAAGCAGCCATCAAAAGCTATGAGAAGCATCTGGTGGAGTTCAAGTCGGCATCAGAAAAATATAACAATGCCATTACTGAGGTCACCAACACGGTGAAATACCAAATGAAATGAATAGTCGTTTTACTTCCCAACAGAATGTTCTTCTGGTTCCTTCTAAGTAACAGCGCTTACTTTTTTGATTAGGATGCTTTTCCACATGCTACCAATATGGCCATAAATAGGGTAAACATTTTAGAAAAGAGATGCTAAAACTAGAGTTGTGTATCAACAATGAATGCCTGGATCAGCTGATGCTAAACTCTTCCAAGTACAAGATGATATCCCAGAATGTTTTTCATCCTCTTCTATAGCTCTTCATTACAGTAAATGCTATCGTACATACAGCAGCAGGTGTAGGGATTACTTCTTCCTTTTCTAAATTCCTATTAAAATTCTTAAAACTTGCATTAAACATAGAGATTTTCATTTGTACCACTAACTTCTAATATCACTTGGTTCTAAAGAGACATTCTTGCCCAGTGTGGTGGCACACACCTGTAATCCCAGCACTTGGGAGGCTGAAGCAGGAGGATCACCACAAGTTTGAGCCAACCTGGGCTATACAGTGAGTTCAAGGACAGCCTGAACTAGATAGCAAGATCCTGACTCCAAAACAAAGAGAGAGAGAGAGAGAGAGAGAGAGAGAGAGAGAGAGAGAGAGAGAGAGAGAGACACAGACACAGACACAGACACAGAGACAGACAGACATTCTTAGTAACTTCTTGTTTAGCACAAATCTGAAGACTTTGAATGAAACAAGTATATATTACATATTACTGACTGCTAGGTTAAATCCAATTTAATCTGTAAACTAAATGAGACTGATAATGGGGTGTAATGATAGGCTACAGTGATGAGAGACAATGCATCTGTAAACTAATTACACAGTGTAATTTGGATGGATTAACATTAAAAGTAAAAAATTAACATTAAAAGGATAAAAAGTTTCTATCATAGCAATCAGTGCTTATCAAATGTGATGACTGAGCCGCTCTAGAAACAAAAAAAAAAAAAAAAAGCTGAATCTCAGTTTCACACCCATCATATACATTTAGGATGACGAAAAGGATTTCACTACTCTTAAGGATATATTAATCAAAGGAAAGCTGTAATTTATTAAGATTTTTCTGGGGAAAAAAAGAATATTAATTTCATCTTCAATGCTAGCAGAAAGGAGGCAGCTGCTTCTGCTATATGAAGCACTAGGTGGCCCATTTTACTAACTACTTGATTTCGGAAAATTCCAGAGGCTGTGGAGGCCTCGTGGGTTAGATGATTTTTCTGTAGGTGCAAGTATTTGTGTTCTAAACCCTTTACTGGTAATTTCCATTGAGACTGTTTTAGGGTCTACACTGTACTTCCAAATTATTATACTATTGACTCAGAGATATGTTTGATATAGTTTATTTATTTATTTGGTACCAGGGATTGAACTCATTTGCCAGGCAGGTGCTTATACCACTGAGCTCTATCTCCAGCCAGTATAGTCTATTCTTATATCGTTACAAAAAGATCTTGAAATAAAAAATATTCAGCATGTCTCACAATTTTTAAATTGCTACATAAAAATGTTAGTGAATCAAAAGTCTAAATGTTCCAATTTAGACTTCATTTTCCTTCGCTGTCATGTTTATATACATTGGCTACAAACTATCACAATGTAGCTGAACTTCAAAATTAAAGCTTTTAGGGCCTGTGAGATAGCTCAATGGATTAAGCACCTGTTCATGCAAGCTCAGGGACTTTGGTTCGATCCCTCGCATGTGCCCCACCAGCCCGTCACACCCGGTGGCCAAGCTGGCCACTAATTCCAGGTGTGGTGCTGCACGCCTATAATCCCAGCGCTAGGTAGGCTGAAAACAGGAGGATCACTATAAATCTGAGCAGCATAGTGAGACTCTGTACCAAATACATTTAAAAAGTTAAATATTTTTATTACCTGGTTTATACACTGTGATCTACAAAATTTTGTTATTGATTTTTTTCGTTATTTTTTTGTCAAGAAAAGAGTACAGAGAGAAAGGCCAAACTTTAGAAATATGTTACTAATCCCATTTGTATAGAACTTAAAAACAATTTTGGCTGGTAACAAGTCCAATAAGAGGCAGTATTTATCAACTTTGCCACTCCTAAACTTGAAACTGCATAATCACGTTTCCTCTGAAAAACTAATCCTGTATTTGAGCAATCTAGGGGGTTTAAAACAGACACTGGTGTATTTGTTCAGGTCCACAAAAACTCAGTGTTGGTAATTAACTACTGAATTTCCTGGCCCACCAGGCACCCACGTGGGACTACCTGAGGCTTAAACTGCACACTAAACTCAGTGTTAAAAAGCTATTCGAGAATTCATTCTCAAACAAAAACGGAAACATTTTTCACCTGCTCCCATCATGGGAGAAGTAAAACTCCAACAATTAACAAAATGACAAAATGCAAAACTCCTCCTCCTCCCTATTTTCGAATGAACCGCTTTTGGAGGCTCAATACAAATAGCTTCCGGAATTAGGTCAGAATGCCTCCAATCTAAGAGACAAGGTAACCAGCCAATCGCATATCGTCTTCCTTCTTCTTATTTCTATTAGACAAAATAAGTGTCAATTGACGTGACGTCAGAATTAAGGCGGGCTCTTGGCCAAAGATCAACCAATTGGACAGTGTATTAGAGCGGAAGCGACTCTCGTTCTAGAGTTCCTGGGTATTCTCTATGGTTCTGGGACTGAGCTACGCCACGAGATCGTGCGCTCCAGGGATAGGAAATGACGTAAGGATGGCGGAGGGGCGCGAGGTTTCAAGATGGCGGAGACTGGGTGCTTGACCGAGAAGCAGAGGTGAAGGCCCCTGCGGCCGATAGGAGGCTGGGACTCGTCCCCTCCACGCCCCTAGCAGTTCTGGGATCCCAGCAGGAGTGTGAGTATATGGAATTGCTTTCCTCCGCGGCTCCATCTCGCCCAGCCTTTTCTGAGGCCCGTGCGTTTACCCCGAGGACATCAGGCCCCTTGGCCCTGCCGTCCCTCTCCCGGGTTGGGGGATCTCCCGGGTCTCCGACTAGAGGATTCCTGGGCCTGGCGCCGCGCAGTGTCCGGCGGAAGGTGAGTGAGTTCGCCGGTCGGTTAGCACCGCCTCCCGTGCGCGCCGACCGCTGCCTCAGGTCTGACGTCTGAGACCTCCCTCCAGCCTGCATCAACCGTCGCTATGGTTTCGGCGGTTGTTGCTGCGTGTTACCCTTTCGGCGGACCTGGACCCCGACTCATTGAAACTTTGGGCTATTTAGGGTACCTCGCGATTTTTTGGGCCTGACTTCCCGTCGCCTCTGCTTATAGATAGAAAAGTAGCTCTGGTAGACTGAATTATTCGTCAAGGTCTTCTGCAAAAATTATCTTCAGTTCATGTTGGTTCTGTTGTGGGAGAAGAGGGTCGGTATATGAGAATGCTTCAGAAAGGAAAACACAAAAGATAAAAGGGAAAAGATACAAGAGCTTATATCCTGCTGGTTCTCCCTAGTCAGTACTGTTTTTCTCTCCTTGACCCCAGTGTTTCCGAAAAGGGACTGCTTGATATGATAAATTGACGCAGGAACACTCTAAAACGTCTAGCAGAAATCAGGACATTAATACTTGATGAAAGGAGCATTAACTGAGCCCGTTGTGGTGGCATGCGACTGTAATCCCAACTCTGGGAATATGAGGAAGGAGGATAAAAAGTGTAAGCCCAGCCTGGGCAGTTTAGTGCCTCAGTGACACCCTGCTTAAAAATAAAAAGATCCGTGGATATAGGGATGCAGCTCAGTGCGAAGGTCCAGGGTTCATGCATAACGCCCCCTCACCCAATAAAAGCCTTAACTGTAATAAACTTGTATGAAAACATCTCTATAAAGGAAAGGACAAAGGAAAGATATAATTGTATGATCTACAAAAAAAATTCACCTTATGATCTCTTTCCTACCCACTGTGTGTCCATTTTTAAAAGGAAATATCTCCTTTATTATTGGAAACACTTTCAAAAAATTAAGCTAATCTATCTCCCTTGGAATAAAAGGGAAAGAAACGTTAGTACAAGCTTTTACATTTAAAAAATTTTGTTTTATCAAGCAGTTGCTGTTTTCAGTTGTCTCAAAAAATACAAATCACAAACTGGGCACAATATCTCAAGCACCCTGTGTTCCCAGCACATTGGAGGCCAAGGCAGAAAGATCATTGCAGGTTGGAGGCCAGCCTGGGCTATATAGTAAAGAGTAAGGCCAGCCTGCACTATACAGTGAGCCCCTGTCTTAAAAACAAAACAACATTAAAAACAAAACCGCAAATCAGGAATCAAGTAGGTAATAACTAGTAAGAAAAGCAGGTATATTAAGAAAAATATTTCTTAATATTGAGGTTTTAGGCAATCTCCTAATATACTAATTTTTAATATTTGCATTTTCAGTTCTGCTGTAAGTTCTTGAGAGTCAGGAGTTAAATCTGAATTAGAACTAAATTTGAGTGAAATATTCTTGCATTAATGAGTTTACCATCAAGGGTGTTGGAAATGTATAACATACGTAATGTATAACATATGTGGCAAGAGAGGCAAGGGAAAGGTATTTGCCTTCCATCCCAAATCCATTTCTCTTGTTGTCTTTCTTTTCATCTTTCCCTCTACATGTAAATCAAAGGAGGATATAGAAAAGAGAATACAGACTTTTCATATTCATAGTTTATGTCATGTTGTCAAAACAGTTTCTAGATGATTTTATTTTCTTCAGTAGATTATGCTGTGATTCATGAAGAAAATGTTAAATTGATGAATAATAAAGTCACCTTGGGACTCAACCATTCTAATGAATACTAGAATTTTCTTTGTAGTTAAGTTTTTGAGCCCATTTTTCTTGGATACCAAAGGCAAAACTAAAGAAAGAATAAAATCTCATAAAATTAATAAAGGAATGCTTATTTCTAGAGATAAGTAATGAAAATAGAAAAAATAAATTTACTCTTTGGTTTTGCAGGTTTTATTTTTTTTTTAAAGAATAAGTGAACCATTATAGATTGTCAATATGGGGCGGAGATCAACATCATCCACCAAGAGTGGAAAATTTATGAACCCTACGGACCAAGCTCGTAAGTGTACACTGGTGTGGAATTAAAAATTATAAATATTGTGCAATATTTCATTATGGCTTAGTTGCATTTATCAGCAGTCATAGAAAGAATAAGTTATATAAAGTTACCTGAATTTGTTATGACACAAGATTAAAACTTTAAGGGCCAGCCACATAGCTTAGCAGACTAAAGTGCCTGCTTAGGCAGGCGCAGGGACCAGGGTTCAATCCCCAGCGTGCCATGCCAGCCAGCCCCCAGGGTGTGCTGAAACCAACTGAGACTGGGCTGGGGATGGTTTTGTGCACCTGTAATCCCAGTGTGTGAGAGGCTGAAAACAGGAGGATCACTACAAGTCCAGTCTGTGTAGTGAGACCCTGTACCAAATACATTAAAAAAACCCTTTAAACATGTGAATGCCCGTATTTTATCCTTTTTTAAGATTTAAGTGACTCACAAAGTAGAATTGCCTTAAGACTTTATATTTGGAATTTTGAACATACTCATTATTTTGCACGCTTTTTCTTAGTATTTTATAGTGGTTTTCTCCTTAAGATTTATAATTACTTTCTAAGAAACTTAAAAGTGTCTTGACATTTTTGGTGGTTGGAGGGATGTTATTTTCATCTAGTGGATAGAACCACAGAATGCCACTGAATATCCTACAATGCATAGGATAGCCTTACACAACAAAGAATTGCCTATGTTAAAGGGAAAACATGCTAATGTTAAAGAATTGAAAGTTACATCATCTGTCCCTCTTTCCCTTTAAGGAAAGGAAGCTCGGAAGAGAGAATTGAAGAAGGTATGGTATCAGAAGACTTCTATATAGTTTTAAGTGTTATTTGGCACATCTTACTGTTTAGAATTAGTATATTTCCAAATAACATTTTCAGGAGACTGGGGATATAGCTCAGCAGGTTAAGTGCCTGCCTGGCAAGCTCAAGGTCCTGAGTTCAGTACCCAGTATTGCATTAGAGAAAAAAAAGAAAAAGAAAGGATGAGCTGATTACGTGTTGATAAAACATGCTTTGTGGACTTCAGTACCACAAGTTCCACACAGTGGACCACCTAGAACAAAGTGATTTTTCTAGGGCTGGGGAGACAACAATCCCTGGTGCCACCAAAGAAAAGAAAATAACATCTTCAGTTATTTGCCAGAATAGATTATTTATGCTTCTTAATAAAAACTGTAGAGTTTATAAGCCAAATTTTATTATATTTAAAAAATAACTTTACAGAGAGGTTCTAATGGTTTATGATATTGTTTATCTTTCCCAATAAATTAAAAAAGTATTTTAGAAAATAAGCGTTTTCCGCTGCTTATCAAAACACAACTTAGTAAGAACTACTGAATTGGTAAATGGAAATCAGTGCTGGACAGCTTTCTGTTGTATCTTTCAGATTAGTTTGTGGCAAGGTACTTGAATAAGAAAGGAATAACTATTTAGTGTAATGCATTAACAAATTGAGGAAGCCCAGATTTTTACCATTCTCAGTGGTGGTTTCTTGTTTCATTAATATTTTGTATCATATTTTGAAGACTTCTCTATTTCAATTAATATTATATATATATTTTTTTAATATTATATTTTTTAGCTGCAACTTTAAAAGAAATACTTGCCCAAGAAAGGACATATTCTTGATTAAGGTCATTTTTGAGAGCAAAAAAATGTCATCCCTCTGTTTCTGGTGGTTGAAACAAGCGATCAGAAACCAATAGGCAATTCCAGATTTGGTTTAAGTCAGTTCTTGGAGCAATTGAAACAAGTTGTGGGCATCCTGCTTCTTAACCTCTGTTTTTGTTTCACTTTGCTAAGAACAAAAAACAGCGCATGATGGTTCGAGCTGCAGTTTTGAAGATGAAAGATCCCAAACAGATCATCCGGGACATGGAGAAATTGGATGAAATGGGTAAAACCTTCTTAAAAGGCTAATTTTATGCAAGCCATAATGTTACAGTAATCCGATATGCACAGGGGCCGGGACATGATGAGGGGAGCAGCATAGATCCAGGAAAAATAGGACCACATGGGATACTTGAGAGCCAGATGAGTTCAGTGTCAGGAAGACAAGAGAGGTGTGGGATTTTCACAGACTGGAGATTCTGTATCCTAGAGAAGGAGAAAATTCAGCTGGAGGTAATGGTGAGTTAAAAAGTCCAGTCTGCCAGTTCACTTTTTTTGAGAAAGGACAAGTTTGATTTATGAAATCATTGTCTTTGTAATGTTGGCAGCTACTATGTAAATCCACCATTGTGAATATCAGGCAGTCTTATTTTTCCAGTGAACAGAAAAGGTCCTGCTTTTGGCCATTTGATAAGAATATAAAAGAAATCATCACACAGGTGTTGCTTGATTTATGATGGAGTGACATTCCATTAAATCACTGACAAATTGAAAATAGCGTAAGTCAACAAGTTTTTAATGCATTGGACCTAGTAAACAGTGCTTAGCTTGTCCTCCCTTAAATGCACTCAGGACACAAGTCAAACTTCAGTTAGGCAAAACCATTAAATTTAGTATTTTACAATAGTAGTATTGTGTGTCATGTGATTTATCAAATGCATTACTGAAAATTCTCCTGCATGCTTACAGCTTTCAAATCATTGTAAAGTGGAAAAATGTTAAGTGGAACCATCCTAAGAGGGGACCATCACTGTTTGAGAATTATTAACAGTCACTGGAAATGTTGGGCTAGGCATTCAGTTCAGGGCACAGCGCCTGCCTGAAAAGTGCAAGGTCCTGAGTTTGATTCCTGGTGCCCCGCTCCCCCAAAAAAGGAAATGTTATGTTTACTCACAGATGCCTTTCTTTTGCTGTTAGAACATACAGGTTTTTTATTTGTCCTTTAAAATAGAAGATTTCTTATTTATGTGTCTTACAGTCTTCAGGATTGAACCCAGTTCCTTTTTACTCCAAAATAGAAGTTTTCAAAGTGCAAAAGAAAGAGACTAGTTAACTCCCATGTGTCTGGTTTAAATATCAGAAGAGAAAATAATTTTCCTTGTGGGTCATAGAATCCCATACTAAATGGTCTAAAATTGTTCTTTGTTGTTTTAAAAGAAGATAATAATAACTGAGGTTGCTTCAAGTTTTATACTTATTATCTGATCCTTGACTTTTTAGGGTAGATAGATACAGTGTTTTACAGGAGAGAAAACTGACACAGCATTTATGTGTTTTTCAAAATCATACTGCCATGCAGTGGCAAAGTTAGGATTAAAATACACATTCAACATTTATTAATCACACTAGGAATTTATTTATTAAATTTATTAAACATTTATTAATCACCTTATATTATTAGAATATATAAGAATATAAGAATATACTTTCTTTTGTGGGAGTACTAAAGATCAAATCAGGACTTTGGACTTGTGAGGCAGGAGCTTAAGCCGCTGAGCCAAAGAACAGACTTTCTAGATTTGAATAAATCACTAAGATTCATAGTAAGATTTAGGGAACAGGATAGTTCAACTTTTTGCTCTTTAAGAAAACAGAGAAGACAACAGATAAGATATTGGCTGCTATAATTTTTAAGACCATGCCTGAAGTTGGCCTTTAAAACCCAGATATTATTGTCACGGTGATCTTTCTATCTAGTCTGCATTATTTGCTTCATTCAGCCTAAAGGTGATGAAGTCCCTGAGATGGAAAGTAAGAAAGCTACGGAATCAGTGGTTCGGAGACAAAGCCACAGGTAGCGCTCGGTTTGCTTTATTCCTGCTTCCCATCTCCAGGAGAAAGATCTGGTCCCAGGTTGGATCATATACCGGTCTGTCTCATTATGTCAGTGCTAAAAAGGAAAATGGGGGAATATGATTTGAGCAGGTAAAGCTGGGGTCTCCTGGGGAAGAGGAGCTAAAATGAAGGCCCATACTGACATATGATTGCTGTAGGAAAGAAGGTGTTACATGATAAGTAGTTGAGGAACATAGATTCATCATAAAAATAATAGAATAAGCCAAATATTGTTTCATTTGTCATCCCATTTTGTCATCAGAGCGTTGTTACAAAAATATGGTATGTATATTTTAGGTTGAGGAAGCTAAGACTACGATGACTAAAGTTGCAGAATTAAGTGACAGGACCAGTGTTTACCTAAGAGGTTTTTATTAAGTTATATAGTCTCTGAATACCTAAATAAAATAAAATTTTGCTTATAATTCTCTACTTTATTTTTTTCTACCAGAGTTTAACCCAGTACAACAACCACAGTTAAATGAGAAAGTACTGAAAGATAAACGTAAAAAGCTTCGGGAAACCTTTGAATGTATCCTATGACTTTATGAAAAAGAGAATCCGGATATTTATAAAGAATTGAGAAAGCTAGAAGTAGAATATGAACAGAAAAGGGCTCAACTTAGCCAGTACTTTGATGCTGTCAAGGTAATCAAGTTTCTTTCTTTCCCCCCCCCCCTTTTTTTTTTTTCCAAAGTTTTATTGATAAACAACGAGACAGTTCCAAATCAAATCGGAAGTACAGTTTCAACAAATAACACACTGCATATATTCTTCTTAGTGGTTGATTGCTGTACAAGATGCGGACTTGAGATCTTATTTACAAACACCATTCGAACAAATCATTCTATTAAGAGAATGCAACTATATATCTATCCTAAGAACTTTGAATACACAGATACAAAACGGACATTCATCTGTATACCCTATTTTTTCTAAGTTCTGTTATTGGATATTATAGGTGTGTAAACTCAGCAAAATATTCTAAAAGAGTCCAGTAGACCATAATAGCCTTGGGTCTTCTGTTTAACTGGCAATGTCAGAAATTATTGACCTGAGTCCCCTACAGCTCAACATAACAGCATGGCTTTACTTCCTATATTTCGTCTTCATACTTTTCTACTGGATGGTTAAGACCAAGGTAAAGCAGGACCTGTGCAATAAGAGTTGTAGCTTTTTGGTCTGAGAAGGTCAGTAAAATGCCCTCAGGATTTATCCTGAGATGCTGTACCTCAGATTGTAGAACCTTTGTCAGTGTCAGCCGTGTGGATGAGTCACGGCCATTGCTTGGCCAACGTGCTCTCTGTGAAAGCCTGAGAGAGTGTCTTCTCCCCATGTGACTCTCCTTAGGCACATTCTACGTCATCGATCACTTTCCTCTTTGGCCCCATAATCTTCTTGATCAGAAAATTTGGGACACCACCGAGGTACATGACATTACAGTACAAGTTCTCCTATGTCCTGAGTCTTAATTGACCTTAGAAGGTTAGGGCCAAGTTGGCTTTCCTTGTAGCCCTCCTTTTTCTCTAACTTTGGTCTGCAAACTTAGGTTGTTAACCATCCAGAAGACAAGCTTATTGTTATTATCAAATGATTTAGGCTATTAAGCTTAACCTCCCTATCTCACTGCATTTCAAACATCTTAGGCATAATAAGGAGCAGGTATTTTTCATCAAGTATTGATATGTTGAACTTTAAGTCCCTGCATAATATGATAAAAAACATTTAAAAATTAGATTATATTTTAAAAATAGGATAAAGAATTATATACTTCTCATGTTTGCACATAAGTCCAAAAATCTCACCATATACAACCTGGTAATCAAGTTTCTTATGAAAGATGTTTTACTCAAGATTTGCTCATAAAAGTTAAATGAGAAAACTCATTTCAGCTGGGTGTGGTGGTGCACGCTTGTAATCCCAGCACTTGGGAGGCTGAGGCAGGAGGATCATTGTAAGTTCGAGACCAGCCTGTGCTACAAAGCGAGCTCAAGGCTAGCCTGAACTGCATGGTGAGACCCTGTCTCTAAAAGACCCTCCCCCACAAAAAAAAATCACCATTTTAAACCTCTTCGTCATGGCAGTTTCTTGTTAGACAACATCCTTACCATTAGAGCCAGCAATTTCTTAGTAAAGAAAAATTAGTCTTGTCTACGAAGACAGTAATAGACCAAAACTGAAAGTAGCCCAGGTATCTATTAACAGGATAATGGATAATTACACTGTATTTCTACAGTGGGATGCTATTCCACAAACAAAAAGTGGGCATTTTATTTTTCCTTTTTCTGCTGCTTTTTCTTATATTTATCAGCACACATATTCTGAAAATGTCTCTCAACTGTGACGTAATGTTTTTTCAGCTAATGTTTATGGACTATTACATGTCAGGCATTTTTCTAGGCATTAAAGATACAGGCTAAACAAAGTCCTGCCTGCGATGTTCACCGACTAAAAAGTTCCTGGCACTGTATCATTAAGTATGATGTTTAATAATCTCTAGTCAATAACCTTGTCATTTAAAATAATGTCTTTCTGTTCCAGTTTGCCAAGAGTTTTTTTTTTCTTTTATTTTTTAGAGACAGTACAAAATAGTATTAAAAAATTACAGGCGATACAAAATTTCACTTAAGAAAGGAATATGAATTTCACAGTATTTGTTGTAATCCATAGTGTTGTCTTCCAACCAGTTGTTCATATTACCAGATATATGCATGCAAAATTGGAAGAACAAAGACAAAAAGAAAAACATGTATAAGAAATTAAGACAAAAAGTATAAACAATTGAAAAAAGACAAATTAGCATTATCTGTTCCATTCCGTAGACTAGCAAAAATCCAAAGTTCAGTTGTCCAAGCCATCCTGCTTGCATACATTGATACATCTTTTTCCCCCACTCCTTCTCCTGTCCTTCTCAATGCAGTAACTCTTAACTTTTGAATACATTCCTTCCCTTTTCCTAGTATCTGTTGTACCCTTCAGGTTCCATTTTTTTCTTTCAGGTTCTCACACTAAGGAAACAATATGATGTTTGCACTGCAGATCTGATTTATTTCACTTAAGAGTATGGTCTCTAGTTGCATCCATTTACTGACAAAAGATTCAAATTTATCCTGGTTTATAGCTGAATAATATTTCATTATATAAAAATACCACACCTTTATCCATTCTTCAGTGGATAGGCATCTGGGTTGTTTCCAGGATTTAGCTATGACATGGCTAAATCATGTTACTATGAACGTGGGTGCACATATACCACTCTGGTATGAGGTTTTCAGTTCTTCTGGAAAAATACCCAGGAGGGGTATAGCTGGCTTGAATGGGATCTCCAATCCTATCTTTTGAAGGGATCTCCACACTGATTTCCATAGTGGCTGTACCAGTCTGCACTCCCACCCACAGTGCAAAAGGGTTCCTTTGTTTCCACAGCCTTTCCAGCACTTGTTATTGGCTGACTTCTTGATTTTAGCCATTCTTTCTGGGGTGAGATGGAATCTCAGTATTGTTTTAGTTTGCATTTCTTTTTTTTGGGGGGGGGGTGGAACCCGGGATTAAACTCAGCCCTTGCACTTGGTAGGGAAGCGCTTATTCTACTGAGCCATCCCTGGCCCACCTTAGTTTGCCATTTTTGAATGACCAATGATTTTGAACATTTTTTCGTATGTTTACTAACCATTTGTATTTCTTCATCTGAAAAGTATATCTCAGATGTACATTTTTGGATTGGATCTTTGAATGGGGGGGTGCTGATTTTTTTTTAATTCTTTATATGTTCTAGATAGAAGGCCTTTGTCAGAGGGACAGTCAGCTGTAGTTTTTTTCCTAGTTTGTGGGTTTTGTTTTTACTGTGTTGGAGATTTCCTTTGAACTCAGAAACTTCAAAAAGATGAGATCTCAGTTGTTGATTTTTTTTTTCCTTTTTCTTTTTTAAAGTATTTGGTATAGGGTTTCACTACACAGCTAGGACTTGTGGTGATTCTCTTGTTTTCAGCCTACCCAGCACTGCGATTACAGGCGTGTACCACCATACCTGGTCTGGGTAGCCTGCTCAGCATGCCCGGGGGCAGGCCCAGCACAACATACTGTGCCGGGGATCAAACCCTGGTACCTGCATTTGCCTAAGCAGGTGTTTAGTCCACTGAGCTATCTCACTGGCCTTGTTGATTCTTTGAATTATTTCCTGTGCAGGTTGGTTTTTGTTCATGAACTCTACGTACCACTATGCCTTTAAGATTCCTACCTACATTTTCCTCCAGAATTTTTTTCTTTTTTTTTTTTTTTTTTTCCGCAGGGATTGAACTCAGGCCCTTATGCTTGCCTTCTTCTGAGCCATCTCCCTGGCCCCCAGAAGATTTAGTATTTTTATTTTAATATTTAAGTCTTTGATCCATTTTGAATAGTGTAGTTCATGGTGATAGATATGGGCCTAGATTTCTGCATTGGAAAGCCAATTTTTTCAGCACCATTTTTTAGGCTGTCTTTCTTCCAGTGAGCATGTTTGGCCCCCTTATCAAAGATAAGCTGGCTGAGTGTGTTTGCAGTTGTGTCTGCATCTTCTAATCTGTTCCATTGATCCTCAGGTCTGTCTCTGCCAGTACCATGCTGATTTTATCACAGTACCTTTATAGTATAATTTCAGGTCGGGGATTGTGGTACATCCTGCCTTTCCTTTATTTCCCAGGATTGCTTTTGATATTCTGGGTCTCTTCTGGTTCAAAATGAATTTGAGGAAAGCTTTCTGTAGCTCTATGAGGTATACTAATGGTATTTTAATAGGGATTGTACTGAATATGTGCAACAATTTTGGGAGTATGCCAAGAGTTTGTTGGGGTGTGTGTGTGTGTGTGTGTGTGTGTGTGTGTGTGTTTGTGTTTGTGTTTAAATCATAATTTTTAAGCATCTGTTAGATATGGGGGTCTTTGTTATAGTGAATTACTTCATATGCTTGTGAAATAACTTATTAAAAATATTATTGCATTCAATTTGTTTATTGGCCTGGAGGCTACTATTGAATTTGGAATTTTTATGGCCTCATGAAGTGACTAGTCTCGCATCTCTTCCTACAAAGCAAGACCCTGTCTCAAAAAAAAAGAAAAAAGAAACAGCCTTCTCTAAACAGCTACCTCATATTGTATCCAAAAAGAATCAGCTGTAGAGTTCCATTTATTAAAGGGTTGACAACAAAAAGCTGGACTTTGGTTCTTTGGAAGCGATAAAGATTTCTTGCAGTTCTTTTCTTTTTTTCTTTTTTCTTTTTTTTTTAGCAGAATATATTTATTGAAAGAAAGAAAGCTCCTGTTCTGAGAGAGGGACAGGAACGGGGAGCCGAGTGGGTAGTTCCCCCCCACTTGCAGTTCTTGACACTCTTCAGTTCTTGTTTTTCATGATGTTCGTTGGAAAGCAAATTCAGTTTGTGAAACAGCTATCATGAAATTTTTGTGGTAAGTTGTTAGATTATTTTGTATCGTGCTATCAAAGTTTCTCTCTTTCAGAATGCTCAGCATGTAGAAGTAGAGAGTATTCCTTTGCCAGATATGCCACATGCTCCTTCCAACATCTTGATCCAGGACATCCCACTTCCTGGTGCCCAGCCCCCCTCCATCCTAAAGAAGACCTCAGCCTATGG